ATTTTTAACATTACTTTCATTATGGGGGGAGCATAATGAAAGTCATGTTGGGACCACTCTATTGATGCGCGAGTATCTAAATGCTTTTCTTCACTTGAAAAATTCATACTTACAATTTTTGTTTATTTTAAATTACAAAGTGAAGGGTTCACATTTCTGAGAGCAATGGCAATTGAACTTGTTTCCATGGCGAACTAAGTGAAATTGTTTAAAAATGATAAGAATTGGCTATAACTCAGTAATTTTTCGAAAAAAAAACCTATTATAGCTTATATCGCTAAAAAGCTTAAAAAATGACGCTTTTTATGAAGTCATGGCCAACTAAAGTGGTTTTGTTATGAAGTTATAGCCAACTAAAGTAGTTTTGTTATGAAGTCATAGCCAACTAGTTTCCATTTAAAAAAACATATGTTTGTATCATATGTCAAAAATGACACAATTTCATTAAGGATTACCTACAACTTTTATCTGAAATTTTTTTGCCTAAAATAGATTATAATGGAATTAGGGACAATTTTAAAATAGCCGAAATTTGTTTTTTTTTTCAAAATATCTACTAAGCCATGAACTTTTTCAAAAAATCCGAAAGGCGCATATTTATGACCCCACAAAACTGCAATTCTTTCTCCACTTAACCGATTCTCTATCTTTAGTAGTTTCCGAGATACCCATAGAGAACATCGTATGAAACTCACCCTGTATAGCTGTGTCTCTTACTTTTTTATTTACGTGTAAAATTGATCTGTCCCAAAGTTACACAAACAGACGGGGTTACTTTAGGATAATTTTATAGTGCAATAACTAAAGTTAAATAGAACTTTAATGTTGATTTCATATTTTGGCGAATTTTTGTGTTATAATAAAAAGATTAAACGACACAGCTTAGGTTTAAATTATTTAGGATTATATCAACAAAAACCCCTAAAAATCGTACCAAAGTTACCCCGGTTTACGGTAAGTATTGAGAATATTTGCTTATAATAAAAATAAATTGAATATCTATATGTATTTTATTTATTTACACAAATACACTTATTATCAACTTTACTTAAAAATAATCTTAACCTATTACAATAAATAAAAAATAAATAAATAAAGTAAAATAATAATTGATCTCCAGTCAAAATGAATCAACAAAATTATTTATCATTGAAAATGAGGAAAATTTTAAGATCCTATTCAAGTGGAGAAGCTGATCTAAGCTTTAGAGTGAAATTTTGATTACTTGATTTGACACGAATCTTCTGTTAAATCGATCCTGATTAATTCATAGTCTCAAATTTTACAGTGTTTTTAATATCTACATTAATTTTTAAGCAGAAAGTAGTCTCGACTGACTAGTTACGTTTAAGTATGTTGTTAAATTTAATAGAGAATATTTTGAAAATATACAGGGTGTTTCAAAACAAATGCGAAAAACTTTAGGGGGTGATTCCCTGTTCAAAATAAAGGGTAGTTTGCTTTATAAACGTTGGGTCAAAAGTCAACCATTAGGGAGATATCGCGGTACAAAGATGGCGGAAAAATAATGTTTTTATTTTTTATCTTGAAAACGAAAGGAGATAGACTAATGAAATTTTATGGAAGCATTACTGTTATGAAAACACACTTTCAGGTTATTTTTTTACTTTTTTAAAATGAGTGGAAGGGGTTGAAATAAACTACCCCTATCATTCTTGTTAACGAAATTTAAAGAAAAATCTTATCAAACACATGCAAATGCTTTAATTTGGATAGCTTAGTTTGTTTAGAAACTATTTTACCTCTTGTGATTTTTTGATAAAACTCCCGATTGGAAATTAAAAAATAAAATGTAAAGCATTACATGTCAGGACAAAAAACATTTTTAGTTTAAGAATCTAGTGATAATAACGATAATAATAATCATCTAGATAATAACGTATTGCAGTAGAGTAATGTCGAATGAAAAAATATTAGGAACATCCTAAAAAGTAACAGCGGCCGACTAGATTTTTTACTAAAAAAATTACAGCAGCCTATTAGATTCTTTATCAGAAAATGTACCCCTATCATTCTTGTTAACGAAATTTAAATAAAAATCTTATGAAATACATGCAAAAAAATTAATTTGGATAGTTTAGTTTGTTTAGAAACTTTTTTATCTCTTGTATTTTTTTGATAAAACTCACCGATTTGAAATTAAAAAATAAAATGTAAAGCATTACATGTCAGGACAAAAAACATTTTCTGATAAAGAATCTAGTGGGCTGCTGTAATTTTTTTAGGAAAAAATCGGTCGCTGTTACTTTTTAGGATTTTCCTAATATTATTTTATTTGACATTACTCTACTGCAATACGTTATTATCTAGATGATTATTATTATCATTATTATCACTAGATTCTTAATCTAAAAATATTTTTTGTCCAGACATGTAATGCTTTACATTTTATTTTTTAATTTCCAATCGGTGAGTTTTATCAAAAAAACACAAGAGGTAAAAAAGTTTCTAAACAAACTAAACTATCCAAATTAAAGTATTTGCATGTGTTTGATAAGAATTTTCTTTAAACTTCGTTAACAAGAATGATAGGGGTAGTTTATTTCAACCCCTTCCACTCATTTTAAAAAAGTAAAAAAATTACATGAAAGGGTGTTTTCATAACAGTAATGCTTCCATAAAATTTCATTAGTCTATCTCTATTCGTTTTCAAGATAAAAAATAAAAACATTATTTTTCCGCCATCTTTGTACCGCGATATCTCCCTAATGGTTGACTTTTGACCCAACGTTTATAAAGCAAACTACCCTTTATTTTGAACAAGGAATCACCCCCTAAAGTTTTTCGCATTTGTTTTGAAACACCCTGTATATTGTTATTCTAATATGTTTAACGCTTTCGAGATGTAAGTAACTACATGATATTAAATGTAATTGTTTGATGTTGGTTCTGTAAATCATCTATTAATTTTAAGACTAAAGAATCATCACATATGACATATCCAAGATGTAATGTTTAATTTCATTAATAATTATGCTACAAGAGTTAATAGGAATGTATTAGCTCTGGAATATTATGTTTTTAAATAATGCACCAAAAAAATGGTAAGATTACAATAAGCCCAAGATATACAATAATTAGACAAATATATTTTGATATGTACAGGGTGGCGCCTCTCACACCCCGCGGAAGCTCCAAGGAGAACGGTAGTTTATATGGAAATGAAATTTTGGCAGCATATGTAGGTTAACTGAAAGCATTTTATAAAAATATATAGAATTATACAGGGTGTCCCCAAAAAAAGTTACACATCAAAGTTGTGTTTTTTCTAATGGAACACCCTATATATTAATTGATTTTCGGATTCTAGGAAAAAAATAAAGGTGAATTTTATTAAAGAAGCATATACCTAAAATCTAAGGATTTTGACGTATTTCACATATTGTGAAAATAAAGAGTAAATTTTAAATTTCGATAACAGCTATCTAAATTTTAGTTGACCTTGTATAGCCTGATATTGAACTAAAGTAACCATTGTATGTTAAACCAAATTGAAATTTTACCTGAAAAGCTATACAGGGTGAGACAAAATTATTATGGAACATTAGTCACTTTTAAAAGCAAGTTACTCCTTTATTTTAAATGGAACATCCAGTATATTTTTCTGGTGTTCAATGGGGAATTTATATATCTTCAAAATATTATTAAGGTTGCCTACCCCTCAGACAAAGATTTTCCCAGATATTTTAATTTTTATGATTTTGCGTCAGTAAATCTTTATTATTTGTAAAAATCTAGGTGGCTGTGTGATATACCTTTTGTTAATTTAACAAAAAAATAAAGATTGTAGAGTAAAATTCTCAAGGGTAATAAAAAGATACACGTTAAAACATATTTTAATTATTACAGAATTAAAATTAGATATAAACCTATACGACCAACATTAGCTAGATGAAATCAAATGCTCAAAATGCTTCCTATCCTGTTAACTGCATAAAATGATTGTCTTTTCAAAAGAATCTTTTCATTTTAAAAGGCATACGTGGAGTTCTACCTCGAAAAACAGCTACAATAATTTCTCTCATGTTGTCGACACTAGTTGGTCCAGTTTAGTAAACACTATCTTTAACATATCCCAATTAAAGGAACCCAGACTAGATAAAATCAGGAGCGTTTAAGTATTCTATTAATTCGTGAATGCACACTGCATTCACCAACTAATAGAATCATATCAATTCTCTGATGTAGGATATGTTTGCATTTTCGGCAAATTTCTGAGAAATTTTTTTGTTTTAACTGAAACAAACTGATAACTAGTTATTAAAGTTGGACTAATTAGACAGCTATGTTGAAGTAACGTCAGACCATATCACAGCCACCTAGATTTTATCAAATAATAAAGATCTACTCAGATCAAATCATGTAAATTAAAATATCTAGGAAAATCTTTGTTTGTAGGGTAGGCAACCTTAATAGTATTTTGAAGAGACATGAATTCTCCATTGAATATCGGAATAATATACTGGGTGTTTCATTTAAAATAAGAGAGTAACATGCTTTTAAAGATGACCAATGTTCAATATTAATTTTGTCTCACCCTGTATAACTTTTTGGATTAAGTTTTAATTTGATTTAAAGTACAATAGTTAATTTAACTACATATTAGGCTATGCCGGATAAATTTCAATTTAAGTAGCTTTTATTGTAATTTAAAAATTGTTCTTTATTTCTAGAAAATGTTAAATATGTCAAAAACCTTACATTTTAATCATATACTTCTCTTATAAAACTCACCTTTATTTTTCTCCCAGAATCCGAAAATCAATTCATATATAGGGCGTTCCATTACAAAAAACACAACTTTGATATGTAACTTTTTTTTGGGACACCCTGTAGAACTCTCTATATTTTTAAAAAGTGCTCCGAATTAACCTACATGTGCTCACAAAATTTCATTTCAATACAAACTGTCGTTCTCCTTGGAGCCTCCGCGGCGTATGAGAGGCGCCACCCTGTATAAATCAAAGCATTGATAAAGATCTTAAATTTTATTTAGGATACTTTTTTATTTTAATAGTTTATATTGGATTCTCACTTCTTCCTATAAAAAATAAAATGTTATTAATTTAACGATATTTTCTATTTAATGAAGGAGTGGAAGTGTGGATGTGGTATCTGGATTAACTAAAATAAAGTTCCTTAATATTGTACTCTAACATTTAAATTATGTTGCTTAAGTGGGTTTAAAAGTTTAATTTTAAGAGAAGTTTGCATCCACCCAGACGATTATTCACATGTTGCAAACTTAATATTTAGTAGGTATACTTAGTTCACTAAGTTCTAGAATGCATAGTTGTGTTCTAAAGTAATTTATAAAAAAATATTGAAATTAATTTTGAATATAAGCGAACTTACATTGAAAAATTTACTTGTAAAACATTATCAAACCAAGGATAACTTATACATATACAAATACCAATTCCTCTTCACTGTATATTCTTTAAGGCTGTATTTATTTTTTTTATTCAAATTTCAAAGTAAGAAAATAAATTCCAACTTGTTCGAAATATATTCACAATTGATATTAATAACAAAATAAAACGAAGTTTGTTGGAATAATCTAGTATTGTAAAATACCTCAAATAAAATTTGTTAAATAACACCAAATAATTGATCTTTAATTGACATTGAAAATAAAATAAAAGTTGTCCTTCATTACACAATCTTTTTGTATTTGATACTCTTTTAGATATCGGACACATATTATAATTGCTATTAAACACCTATTTGAATCCTTACACATTATTGTTATTACATATAAGTCGTATCAAACCAAGTAATCATAATTTGATAACTTAAAAAAACTGATTTGCTGTTTTAGTCCAAAGCTGCTTACATAAAATTGTTTATTGTGAATTAATAAAGTATCCTTCTATTAATGGTATATATTAATTTTGAGATAAACACTTTCACACAATTCTTTGGTGGTTCTTAATTATACACATCCAGAAAAAAATACAAATTTATTTAAATTTTTGTAGGTTACCAATATTCTTGAGCATGTACTTTGCATGGCTATATTTTAAAAATTGTAAAACTTTTGCTTGCTTTACGTACTTCACCTAACAAGGTAGCAAAGAAAATATCATTTTTTTAATTAATAACATGTAAGACTTGTTATTGAAGTTTTCTGGCTTGAACTAGTTTATTGATCTCGTTGTAAGTTGTAAGGAGAGCTGGACTCTGCTGGTTAGAAGTTAGTGAGGGACAACCGCCATGAGCAAGACATTCTTCGCCATCCTGTCCATCTTTAGCAGCTTTCATGTACCTGAAGAATCGAAGGATGTCTGGATTGTCTGAGGATGGTTTTCTTAATTCATTTAATTCCCTAGAAAAATAATTTATTCATTGTTAGTGTACAAGAATTCCGTAAGTGCTTATAATAGATGCTTTACTGCGAAAATTTAAATATTAAGTTAGAAATAAACCTCAATCAGTTTTTTTTCTTTCCAACAGAACAGAATTGTGTGTCTTATAAAAAGTTTTATTTATAATATAGACAGAGTGCTATTAAAAATTGTTCTATGAAAAATACCTGGATATTTCGTCACAAACTAAAAAATAAAAAAGTGAATTTTTGTAAAATGACTTTTAATCCAAACGGAAACCAGAGTGTCGGTAGCTTTATATACTCGTAAACAAATTTTTGGTAACCAACAAAAAACGCTTAATGTTTTAGAGGGTCTATCTACCTCTTTTTTCATAAGGGGAAAAAAAGAATGATGAAAAAAATAACTGTTTTATTTTGTAGATTTTCTTACAGTGGCGAAATACCCATAGGACTTTTTTGAAGACATATAATAGCTATTTATGTAACAAGTTGCGAAATGAATGCGTTTTAAACACTGGACGCAAAATTGTCCAACGGGGCGAAAACCGAGTTGGGCAATGCGTCGAGTGCTTAAAAGACTCTTTTCGCAACTAAGTTCATACAAGATTTTTTGTGAAAGCGGATAATTTGAGATTTTCATGCTATTATTATTATTTATTTTTAAACATTTTTTAAAATGATCTGGTAATCGGTTTCTAAGGCATTGTTTCTGCATTGTTTAATGACAAAGTTCTCTCACGTTGAAACCTCGCCGTATTTCCTACAAAGTTTTGTGAAAAAATGAGTGAATGATGAGTCTTTGGATATTCAACAAGCTGCTGAAACTGCGCTATCCACGTTAGTGACCGAGAAGTCGAAAAGACTTATACGAGACCACCTACAACAACTTTAACACCTGGGTCAAAGAATAACATGTTGAGAAGTTCACAGAAAAGGTATTGCTAGCCTATTTCCTAAAGTTATCCACTACCATAAAGCCGTCAACTCTGTGGAGTAAATATTCGATGCTCCTCACCATGATTTACCTGAACAGAAACGTAGATATTAGCAGCTTCACAAACCTTATTGCATTTTAAAAAAGAAAAGCTTCCGGATATCAAGCAAAGAAATCAAAAGTATTTACAAAACTGGAAATAGAACGCTTTATGAAAGAAGCCGATGACAAAGAATTCCTGTTAGCTAAAGTTGTCTTAATCGTTGGAGTATTTGGAGCATGTAGGAGGGAAGAAATCACGTTTTTAACCGTAGATGCCATTAAAGATTGTAACTATCAACAGTCATTTATTAGTGTGAAGATTCCGAATACAAAAACACATTTTCCAGGAATGTTAACGATTAGTGAGGGACCAATAGATGGTATCAATTTCTTACATGTATTTCGTAACTACACAAAACTTCGACCACTCAATGTGACACATTAGGGATTTTTCTTGACGTATCGAAAAAATCAATGCTGTACCCTGCCAGTTGGAATCAATACAATTGGAGGTATGCCAAAGAAGATAGCGGAATTTCTTGGACTCTCCAACGCCATTGAATACACTGGTCATTGTTTCCGGCGCAGTTCTGCAACAATGCTGGCAGATTCAGGAGCGGACATAACAGTTTTAAAGCGACATGGAGGTTGGCGATCAAGCTCGGTTGCTGAAGGTTACATTGAAAATTCAATTAAACAGTAAACCGAAATAGCAAAAAGAATCATGGGACAGAAAGATATGCCAAATAAGAAATTAAAAGCAGTACACGTAGAAGCAGAAGCTACCAGCATTGCCAGTAAAAGAAATTTACTTATCCCGACTCCTACAACTTGGATTTCTCCTAGAAACGAAAAGTTTCTCTTCTTGTATTCACTTTAATAATTTAAATAATTTTATTTTACCTTTAAGATTTATAATAAATAAATATTTTCATTGTTTCTAACGTTTCATTTTTTACATTTAGGAGCTAGTGCCTAAACAAGCGTCACTTTTAGATACTAGTGCCTAAAAGAATGTCATTTCGAATCTCAAACAAATATCAAAAACAGTCAATTTCGAAACGCTTTCACAAAAAATACTTTTTGTTCTTATAGAGACACGACCCAAGGAAATACTGTATTATCATTTTTAAATAAATTGACATTTTATGCTAAAACAGTTAAATATTTTATGAATAATTTATCTGAGATACAACTCTAATTACAATAACTCACCTGCTCAGCTGAGCCGACACCAAATTACTGTACGGTGCGTATTTGGCCGGATTGGCGTACATCATACAGATCAGTCTCTCTCGACACTGCTCCGTCCCTGGGCTCTTCTCGTTCCCCAGGCCCAGCTGTTGGAAAATGGAGTCCAGCCTGGACAGGATCGGGCTGTAAAAGGGGTCGTAACTTGTGAGGAGCAGGGAGGAGGAGGGAATTTTATGGAAAACTTTGTAGTCGGTTTTGTGTTTGGGTCGCTGCAGGTAGTAGTTGTCGTTAATGGTGGGGGCGGTGTAGATTCTCTTGTTGGCGAAATCGAACCTAAAAATTTAAAGGAAAACTATTATTCTCTATTTTTGCAGATTTTAGTTAGGTACTACATAAATAATATTATATTTGAAAACAAGGATTATAAATCGTTGAGTCAGAATAAAAACTCATTTCAATAAAATAATTACGAGAATAACGTAAACCAAAAGAGTTACTTTTACTTGCAAAACCCTACAACTTCCTGACTATTTGTAAAGATATTTGGGAAATCCGAATTTTCCCGATTTTGTTTCTATTTCTTCTAATTCTTTGTAACCCTACTAGCTGATACGAGCCCCCTTCGCCGAGCGTAAATTTTTTTAACAATATATCTATACTAATAAGCAGACAGTAGTATCGACTGACTGAATCTAGGAACTAGTGGGGTTGCAGTCGGAAGGGTTTGGAATTATAGTCCAAACCCTTTCGACTGCAACGCCACTAGTTCCTAGATTTTCTATACCTACTAATATATTAAATCCTTAAGTGACTGACTCACTAATTAATCACGGTCTTGCTCAAACCACTCAACGTAAGAAGCTCAATTTTGGCATACAGGTTGATTCTAGGGTGTAGAGGTTCGATAAGAAGGGATTTTTCGAAATTCCAGTTCCAAGAGGGTGAAACCACCCCTCAAATATTACAATATTTTTTATTTAAAAAACGGTCAAGTTTCCGAAAAAACGCTCAAACACGTATATTTTATTTTGTTTTTTATATATTATAAGATTTTTTAAAAATGTATACAGGGTGTTTCGAAAAATCTGGTCATTGATTAATCACGATCCTGCTTAAAGCGCTTGACGTAAAAAGCTGATTTTTGGAAAACAGATTGACTTTAGGGTGTAGAGGTTCGATAAGAAAGTATTTTTCGAAATTCGGATACTAAGGGGGTGAAACTATCCCTCAAATATTAAAATATTTTTTATTTAAAAACCGGTGAGTTTTTCGGAAAAACTCTTAAACACTTTTAAACACACAATACATTTTATTTTGTTGTTTTACATATTTTAAGATTTTTTATAAATTTATACAGGGTGTTTCATAAAATATGACCATTGAGTAATCACGATTCTGCTTAAACTGCTTGACGTTTAAAGCTGATTTTTGGCAAACGGATTGACTGTGGGGTGTAGAGGTTCGATAAGGATGGGTTTCTCGAATCTCAAGTTCCAAGAGGATGAAAACGCCCCTAAAATATTACAATATTTGTTATTTAAAAAACGGTTAGTCTTTCGGGAAAGCGCTTCGACACGCATAATTTATTTTGTTTTTTACATATTTTATTTTTTTTTTAATCATATAGGGTGTTCCAAAAAGTTGGGTAATTTATTAACCACGATTCTGCTTAACCTGCTTGACGTAAAAAGCTTATTTTTGGCAAACGGATTTTTCGAAAGTCAAATTCCAACGAGATGAAAGTACCCTTCAAATATTACCAAGTTATATAATAATATCGCCATATTGTTTTTTCTCATGCTGACATAAATGTGAGAACATTTTATTCAGTTTGTATGTTAATGGAAATTCTTGCTTTGCTTTATCATCACCATCACAAATGATTAATTCGACGCGATCGAAGTCGCGGGTACACGCTATACCCATACAGCACGGCCAAATGAAATTACGTTTCTACAAGGAAGACACATGAGAAACAAAATATGTTAAAGTGAACCTAAGTGTTCATCTAGTTCTAACATATACATATGAGATACACGCAGGTTTATATTGATAGAATTGTGTGTTACAGTGTTTACTAGTTGTATACCGTATGCACTCAAGATTCTAAAGAGTTTTTTGTAACGTAACAAATAATTATTAAAATGTTGAAATCTGACGTCGGTATATGAGATATACAATGTATAAGTTATATGTATGTGTGATACTTCATATCATAGTTGTGCCTATAGTATACACCTTGTAAAAATGTGACATATACACATAATATAAATATGTATATAGACACTTTGTAATAGTGTACTGTTGTGTCTACATTCTAGCATGAAATGAAGGTGTGCGCACGCGCGGATAGCCTCAGCGTAGATACACCGACCAAGTGTATCTTATTAGCCCTCATGGTGTCCTCTCTCCTTTCTCCTTTCTAGGAGTGGTATGTGTTAGCAGCCATTATTGTTTTATCATTCGGAAGCTCTATATAAATGTGCTGTTTGTGTGTAATTTAAAAGAGATTTTAAGGTAAGCAAGTTTTTAATTACTTTGTTACACCTTCCTAAGTGTATTATTAATATTATAGCAGCGATTCTTCCCTTACTCGATACCCAATTTACCAAATTTTGATTCCAACGAATGAAAACTCCACATATTCTCGTATAATGATAAAGAGGTTAGCTCTGCAATATAACTTTTTTTTAATTTGGAAATTATAAAAATCTAAATGAACCAGAGATAGAAAGATTTAAACACTTCACAGAACTTTTTACACTGATATTCGGTAAGTTATTGATGGATCAATATACAGATATGTTTAATATTCAATAATCAGTTTCATATAAAATTTAAGGGTGAGATTGTTAATCTGGAAATAAAATATAACAAAGTCCAACAGAGTGCTCGATGAATGAGTATCCTAACAAACCAACTGCTTGGAGGGAAAGGAGGAGAAAAAAATGACTAAACGAGGTCCACCAAATCGTGGCGATATACCAGTGTTTACCATTCTAGTATGTTGTTATAGTAGGTACTTATATTTTTAATACATTTTGATACAAATTCTGTTCTTTTACAGTGTTTTCTTGCTTCTGGTTTCTGCAGTGTAAATAATTATTATTATTGTGTTATTTGTGCTATTGCGTTCCATGATATAAAGAAAATTTGTGTCTAGCCCTAGCAGGCAACTATTAAGCCCGACAAATCACGTTAGAGTTTTTGACAAACACAAATAAATTTACACCCTTCAAATAACCACGCTAACCAACCTGATTGGTCAAGCTTAAAAGTTGACTGCTAGGGCTAGACCTCGGGCTAGACACTTCTAAAAAGAAATATAATAATTTTATTTTTTAACCACTTAATCCATTTTATGGAAGAAAAATGGCACATTTAATACAAAACAAGAAGTAGTTTTATCTACCACAAGATGTATATACGAAGCAAAATACATACGTATACACACGGTAGTCACAACTGCAATGTGTAAACATAGTTTAGACGTTATACACAAGCACTGTGTATCCGACGACACACTGTGTATCCCTTAAGGCTGATTCATGGTACACCGGGCCGTACCCGAGCCGGGCACGTTCCGTAAAGTAGACACGTTAGTAGAAGCTCTACATAAATGTTTCTAAAAAGAGGATCGAAGAATAAAATTGCCGGATCTGATATAAGCGCTTTCTAAATACTGTAACCACGTCTGGTCATTTAATTTATAATAGATATTACTACTGATTGATATTTGGCAACCAATAATGCCCGCTCAAACGTTGAAGTCATTTTTCTGGCCAAATTAATTAAGTTAAGTATAAGTAAAATTCAACTAAATAAGGGTTAATTTTCCGTGGTTAATGGTTTTTTTTCTCTTTCCTATGCTACTTGTGTGTAGAATATTTGGTTTCATAAAGAAGTAGCAAAATAATGTGAAAATCGAATCATTGTATACTCTTAAAAACGATAAATCCCATAAAACACACAAAAATGGGATACCCTGATTCATGGTACACCGGGCCGTACCCGAGCCGGGCACGTTCCGTAAAGTAGACACGTTAGTAGAAGCTCGGCCCGTGCTCGGCTTAGCATGAATGCATAGGTATAAATACCATTTGACAATGTTTGGCCGTGCCTTCACCGTCGCACGGCCCCGGCCCGTCACGGTGTACCATGAATCAGCCTTTACTTTGTGTATACGTAAATGCTATACTGTGGCTACATTGTGAAGCGGACGTTTAACCTTTGTGCATACGTGTTGAACTACAATGTGTAAACGTAGCATATTTACATCGGGGGAATTGTGTCACCCTGTGTCTACATCTAATAATGTAAACACATCGTAAATGTGATTTGATGTGCTGTATGGGTAGTGTCTTTATAAATTTTGCAATGTTGGTATGCAGTGTGGGTCTTTAAAGTGGAATAAATTCATTATACCAAACACAGAACTCAAACAAAATGTTTGAACATGTTAATTATTATTTTAAGTTGCTCATATTACATAAAAAAATATACCTACAGAAAGCAGATATTTCTACATAAATGTTTCTAAAAAGAGGATCGAAGAATAAAATTGCCGGATCTGATATAAGCGCTTTCTAAATACTGTAACCACGTCTGGTCATTTAATTTATAATAGATATTACTACTGATTGATATTTGGCAACCAATAATGCCCGCTCAAACGTTGAAGTCATTTTTCTGGCCAAATTAATTAAGTTAAGTATAAGTAAAATTCAACTAAATAAGGGTTAATTTTCCGTGGTTAATGGTTTTTTTCTCTTTCCTATGCTACTTGTGTGTAGAATATTTGGTTTCATAAAGAAGTAGCAAAATAATGTGAAAATCGAATCATTGTATACTCTTAAAAACGATAAATCCCATAAAACACACAAAAATGGGATACCCTGATTCATGGTACACCGGGCCGTACCCGAGCCGGGCACGTTCCGTAAAGTAGACTTAAAAGTAGAGGATATTGTACTTAGTTTAAGTAAGGGGGATTATGACGTCAAACTTTTAGTTAGTTTTCTTGATTTAAATTGTATTCTACTTTTCAACGTTTATTCATTTCCATTTCTTTAAATATTAACTTTTAATATTTTAATAAATTGCTTAAACATTTTTTTTAGTAGTATTATTTACAGTCTAGTCTCATAGTTAAGTTAGAGTCACTTAAGTACAAATAGTTATAGAATATTTGAAGTTCATGATAGTTGCACTCAACAGTTCGAGGTTAGTGTTGAAGTCTACTTAATAGTAACATCTTTTATGCCGAGTTCATAGAGTAGAATCTCGTGGCGCCCTTTTATTAATATCTTTGAACCCCGACCACCAGGCTGTTA